TCAAAATGGAAAACTTCGACAGTTAACTAAAGTCCATGCTCCCCAATGATCAAACATAGCATAGCCGTGCTTCGGCGATGTGCATTATGGGCAACAGCTACATTACATACATCATGATTGGAAGAGAGTAACAGTTGCAATATATCCATTTTTCATCACCTATTAACCAATAAAATAACACGATGTCACATCTGATATACACAGGGAAAAGAGATTTGGAGTGCGATTGAATAACACCCACCTCGAAAGCAATATTCTGATATCCATATACAAACGTCGATCCAAATGGATTGTTCATGGAGCCTTGTGTCTGGATTGCAGCTCGGCCACAATCACCGAGAATCTCCTAATACAGTAAAACCAAGGGTTGTTAAAAGGACAGAAAAATATATAACATATAAGCATGCAATAAGATAGCATATTGGCACTCGAAGCGTTGCTAGATTGATAATACAGCTTAGACCAATATCTACTTAAAAGGTAACTGCTCTAGAAAAAGCAAAAGCAAAGCTGACATTCTTAGTGCAAGAACATTAGTGTGATTATGCTAACAACCCAACTATGCAAAATAAAACCTAGTAGATCATTTTATGTCATAAGTTTACCATTCACTATTTAAGAAGGATGAAAAGGACTCATGAAAGTAATCCATGAAGCCAATGAAACAAGATGCAAAAAGGGGTGTGCAGAAATTGTAACAAATGGCATTTCAAAGCAAAGATGATAACTTTAGAACTACAAGGCAAAATCAAACGGCATTCTGAAGCCAAATAAGACATCAAGGAGACAAGGACTACCAGTGGTACCATCAGCAGGTTTTAATAAGTTATGTAAAACACCATACCTTAACTTGTTCCCATTTTGTACTAGGCGTTATGCAATTTTTTGAGACATTACCGGGCTGACATGTACCTTCAGCTGAAAAAAGACCAGATGGATGATTGGATTGGATTATTCCATCACAATAAAACTATTTTTTTATTACAAGTACGTAGTCCAGACCTTCAGCGTCATATATAACAAAGTTGCATTTCTTATATGAATTGAAATCTGAGTGGCCAGGGAAGTTTGTATGCAAAACAAACTTCTTTATCCTATGTGTCTGCAAGGACAATAAACTGTCAATATGCTATTTAAAATCCAAGCCAATAAAAAAGAAGCTATTTACAGTGTTACACAATCCTAGTGTGATGAAATACTCCACACCTGTCCATCAAATAAGATATCAATTCCACGCGAGAAGTAGTTGTAGAAATAATCTCCACAAAGGGTTGTCCGAGGCCGGGGTTCTGATGCAGAGTGTATGACCATTTGGTCCACCTTACAAGATGGGAGAACAAACATAGTTAGCATTCCAGTTGAGAATGCACCAATAATTCCAGGGAGAATGTCATTCCTTTATATTGATCTTTACCAAACAAAACTTAACCATATGTCGCAGAAATACGGATTAATCTCATGCTCTCAATAGCTCTGTATAGACTAAAATGTTATCTAAATGCTTCCATGAGTAAGCAAAAAAAGTAAATTCACAAGGAAACCAGTTCAGCTTAGCTTATGTCATATGTTAAATAATGTTGGCAATTCAAAGAAATACATATATTATGTGAAATCTTTACTCTGATGCCTCAATTAAAACTGACCTGCTTCTGATGGATACCACAAGGACGACCCAAATCAGTCCAGACATCCTGCAAAAGAAATTCAAGTAAAAGACAAATCTGGGCCAATGTAAAGTTATATTTTTACTTCAGCAAATAGATATGTGATGTACCTGTGGTGATGCACCAAAAGGAATATGTTGCCCCCCTATTGTGAACCAAAGTTCTTCACCAAGCTGAAAACAAGTATAAGAAAATGTTTACTCCACTGGTAAGACTTGGTAAGAGTCATAAGACAAACAACATACAGAAATCACAACTTATTCATATACACGAAGAAGATACCAGTCGTTGTATGATTCTCACTCGTGAAACAACCAACAAATCAAAAAAAAAATCAACATTAAAAAAGAGTCTAAAACAAACGTGTAATTGAAAGGCAAATCCCACGACCAGCTTTTTGTTTATTTTCTTTCGCTTGTTGGTTTCATACATTGCCTAAGAAAAGAGGTGCCTGGGTGGGTGGGGACAGGACTGGAGAGCTAAGAGGTAAAACTAGATAGTCTGGATCACTTGGATTATGAAACATCAAAATATGTTTACAGCTTCAACAAAACCAGTAAGCTGGAAACATTATCAATAAACTAAAAACATAGCATACCTTCGCGTGCACCTCCTCCATATACAGGCTGCCTGCAGGCAGTGCAGGTACAACTGCTTTGTCCATCAAAGATCCAACCCCAACCTTGCTATCTGTCGAGCTATCATATATACAAACCCGGCAAGTAACAGGGGTTGTTCCGTCTGGGAATTCCAGGGGCAAATCTGCCACTGCCATAGCAATTACAGAAGTGAGGTAAGACGTTACGTAAATATGGGTACTAATAGAACATTCACAACTGAATTGCCTCTGAGGTAGAATACCTTCCCCATTGGTGAATAGATTTGTATATTGGCTGGGAATAGGGAATGCGAAGGATAAACCCTACAAAAGGTTACCAGTAAGACAAACCCACCAACAGATCAAGGGAAAGAAAACAAGATGAACTGCGAAAGAGGGGAACAACAGAGCTATTTTTCATGACATACTGGGTAGAACAACGTATAAATTCCCCTCTCTTTGTCGTATATACCAGGGAAAGTTGGTCCAAAGAGTGCATACACAGCGGCAAAAGTGGCTAATGTTGACGGGCCACTGAAAGTGAAAAACAGAATGATCAGTAACACCACACAACCTTGCGCTGAAGGGTTAATGTAAATGAGCGCAACAACATATCTGAACAGGATTTATTTGAGTACTTCCACTGTTTCACAAAGATTTAACAATGAAAAATCATGATCGCGAAGATCCTTACCCAATTAAAGCTGTCGCATATCGCAATTGCAATCTCTTAACATCATAAATTTCTACAAGACGGAGCCTCTGCAAGGATAATATACAAAGCATATAAGTTTAGTAATTCTGAAGCCTGAAAATAAGTTTCATTTCCACACAGCACACATTCTCAAAGATTCTTTTCCCCATATACATAAATTAGAATTATTAACCATGATGAGTTCCTTTTCTCAATTACCCACATTATATTTCCTATATTTCAAGCATAACACACTCAAAAACAACAGCAGCTAACCCTTTTAGCCACAAGAGTTGGGGTATCCTAATGCAGAACACATTCCAGTTTGATTTTGCAAAAGTGGTCCGCTATATAGTCTTAATTAATCTCCACGAGCAACTGATTTCTCATGCATTCAATGCTGGCTGTTTCAAAATAAAATAAAAAATGCCTAAAATGTAACAAATTAACCCCGAGCATACCTGCGACCAAGGATCAAAGCGTAGGTGAAATCCATGATCCGGAAAGCTAATGACAAAGTCCAGCTTGAGAGGCTCCTGAAGACACAGAACCAACAACACCGATCAGTTAAGAATATTTTGGTAACCCTGGCATCCAACAAACTCGTGCACCTCGTCTCACAAACCTCGTCGAAGTACTTCACGTGCACAACGTCGTAGATATTCGGCTGGCGCTCTATCTGTGCAAAGGCATCGGAGATCGGCATCCCTGCACCGATTGCGACCTCCCAAGTCAGAATTGGCTCAAAGTTTGAAAATTTAGCTAACCTCTTGCTTAAAAAAACAAGTCCTTTTTCCCTCCCGTCCAAACCGAGAGGAAAGCAAAGGAAGCAACCAACGACCGCCGATGCCTGACGGGGCGGCGGGCGGTGGGTGCTTAGGGTTCTCACCGAGGGTGAAGGGGCCGACGCCGAGGCCGGGGCGGAGGTCGAGCGTGATGGCTCCCATGGCTGTACCCTCGCACCGTCGCCGCACCGGCACCGTCCCCTGGGACGGCATCCCAACCGCCGTCCCCGCCGCCGCCGCCGCCGCGGCGCCGCCAACCCCCGTCATCGCCGGGGACCTCTGTGCCTGCATCCTGGTGCCCACCTCGCGGCCCCCCTCCTTCCTCCTCGACGGTTTATTCCTCGGCGTGCTGCTGGGTTCGATCCGATGGGATTGCGTCTACTCCACCACCATCTCGCGCGGTGCGGGCTTAGCTTAACGAGAAACCAACGCGGGAGTTGGCTTCGTATGACACGCGGGTCCGGAGCCGTCAGTGGCGGTAGCCTAGAAGTGGGGCCCGGATGTCGGCGGGAGGATCGCCGTGTGCACCTGCGTCGTCGCCTCGGGCCCTTTTGCGCCGGATTACGTGCGACGGAGGAGGAACCCGTCGCGCGGCAAATAGGTGGCCGGCGGGACACGTGGCGGATTCGGAGCGGAGGGCACTGCTGTTTGCTGCGAGCGGTGAGTCGCGTAGGTTTGCTTCTGCTTCTATGGTTGCTTCTTGCTCGGAGTTCACGTTTACACGGCAGGATCGGCTCCGAGTTGAGGACGCTACGAACTCTGAATTTTTAGCTTAACATAACACCGAAAGGGATTCAGACATCCGACTAACATTGAACGGCTGAGATCGGTTTCAAATTTCACACTGAATATGTAATCCGTGTCGATTATACATACTTGGATCAACCCACACATCAAAATTGGATGGCAGCTTTGATGGTGCCAGCTCAATTCGTCAATTTTCAACCTGAACATCCGGATTCCAGATTCCAGGGGGGGTAACTAGAGAAAACTTAAAAATGCAGCAGAAAAGCCAAAGAAAAACTGGGGAGGTGCGGCTCGTCAGTTTAAACTGCATGACAAAGATAGCATAGTTCCATTTTATGACAGCAAACATCACTTGAATATGCAGTAGATGAAGAGCACTGGGTTATCAGAAAAAGCAAATGAGAAGCATGGATGGAGTCCAGTAATTTTCATTCTTATTTCTCGCACAACTCAATTAAACAGGAAGTGATTTGGAACTCTGGAAGTTCTGCCCCCGCTCGCAGGACTCTTGTTTACTGGTCCTCCTTGCCATAATTGTAGATGACCTCGATCTACAAGACACAATTGCCATTAGTACAACATTTTGGTGTACAGAATCTACTACCCAAAGACAGTTTAGCAATGCTAAATGCTAGAGCCAGAATAAGATAATGTCGCCATTGAAAATGAAGTCATTTTGTAAACTCTATGCGATACTACGTAGCATCCAAGTAGAGGAAATCCTGTTATGAAAAACTACCTTTGCGAGCAAATCAGTATGGGAGGGTTAATGTGGCCATAGAAGATGAAGTCGTTTTGTAAAATCTAAGCCAGTAGCCCAGTAATATGATAATATGCAGCAGATGTTTGGCAGGGTTCACCCCATCACGTCCAAGTAGACAATATTCAGTTATGAAATACTCCTTCCATTCCAAAATATAAGCAATGTACTTTTCTAGATGCATAGTTTTTGCTATGCACTTAGATATACACTATGTCAAGATACGTAGTAAAAGCAATGTATCTAGAAAAGCCAAAATGTCTTATAACTTGGAACGGAGGGAGTAATTGTAAAACTAACTACCTTTGTGAGCAAATCAGTTGAAGTTCCTAACATCAATTTACAGTTTTGGCCAAAGCACTACAAATAATAATCCATTAACGATAAATAATAATTCTAGCTCTCTTATCCATTGAGAAATTACAGATGAAACCTTAAGTACTGCTGCATTTTTTGCGTTCAAATTAGGTTAGCTTAAACTATGAACAGTGTACCTTGTTTAGGCAATCACAGGAGGAAAGAAAAATCAAGTATAATATTATGAATGATAAGCATTGTGGTGAATCAAATTAGCATAATGCAAATACATTACATAGCATAAAGAGCAATGTAATCTATGATCTTACCCCTTGAGGAGGAGGGGGGTTTCTTGTGAATTTACTGCCACCTGGTGCCCATGGAACTGCAGAGATAAGAGGCATATAGAGATTATTAGGCTTTAGCATTCCCGTAGAGACTTCACCTCAAAAAATTGGTAATTCATACACATTAGCACAATCATTGTATGTAAGATTAAAACGTTGACGTCAATCAATTACAACTAACTTTTCAACTGTATCTCAGAAAAAAATGCTAGTATCTCAGAAAAAAAATGCTAGTATCTTCCAGCGTATTTGTTGTGGCCACTCATTGATAAACAGAGGCATCGACATCAGGAACAGAAGAAATTGGTAAGTCAGACACTTAGGCTGAAGCCTTACAACAGAATTACAATACCGAATACCCACAAAAAATACAGCAGGTAGCAGCTTGCATATTTACTAATTAATCCATAACCATCGGTGTTACTAGGGCTGAACAAAGTTGTTTTTTTTCAAACTGTTGGTACATCAAGTGTAAGCAAATGTAGCTGGGAAAGAGAAGAAGGATTGCATCCCAGTTAACTAAACTCTAGGCATTGAAAGGTCTTGACCAAAACGAAAAGTGTGGTTATCACTGCATGAATTCTGAAAACTTCACTATGACGTTGATTACTCAATATGAAATGTTCTATCCAAACAAAATGCTAGTGCCAGCCTACATGATTTGATGCCAAACATTCAGTGCACAAAAAAGACCAGGATGACAAGAGAAAGCTTACCAATGTAGGGATCGGGGTGCTGGAAGTTCCTGTACTGAGCCTCCGCATCGTCGATGAGCCTATCGATCACGTCCAGGTTATCCTGCACCACCACCCCACACAAAATCCAACATCATGGCTCACAGTCACAGCACCACACAGAAATCATCACCAAACGTAACTTGCGAGTTTCGATCGAGGTGTGCAAAAAGGGTCAGCAGGAGGAGGCCTTACCACGTGTCGGTTGGCCTCGAACTTGTCCCGGAGATCCGACGCCTGCGCGGGAGAGGGAGCACGAGGTCAGATCCGTCCGCGAGCGGGGAGGGAGATCGAGATCGAGAGGGAGAGGGAGGCGGAGGGGGGAAATGGGGGCGGGGACTGACGTCCTGGTAGAAGAGGTGGCGGTGGACGGCCCAGTTGAGCGTGTCCTTGAGCGCCCTGCGGTAGAGCAGGCGCACCCGTTCCTTCTGCGCCGCCCGCCGCGCCAGGTACCCTGCCGTCGACGCCATAGACCTCGCCGCCGCCGCTCTGCTCCTTTCCTTCTCTCTCCTCTCGCTGCAGTAGTCGGGTTGGGGGATTGGGGATCGGATTCGGACGGGGTCACGGCCTCGCAGGTGTGTATGGGCTGTTTGGACTGGATCGGCCACTGCTCGGACATTGGGCTGCAAGCCCACTTGGGCCCATTTTGTTGCCCATGCCTTTTCTTTTTGGTCCACTCAAAAAACTTGCATACTTTCCTTTCTTCCCTCTGTCGCTCTGTTCAGTGTGCACAGCTCTTTTTTGGACTATTTCAACGTGCTTTTAAAAATATTTTTATTTATATCCATGTAGCGTGTGGAATATGGCAAAAATATTGTATAACTAACAGTGGTTGAACATTGGCACCAAATGACCAAATAGGGAGGAAAACGGAGTATTAAAAAATCCAAATATTTCACCTCTAGTCAAGCTGACCCTGTAACATCAATTGCTTCTTTATTTGCCAAATTGTGGTGGTGTTCTCACAGCCAGCCAGCTCGCCACACACAGTACTTAGCTTTGGTGTTTAGGTGCATATATGAAGTTCTGGAGATAGGATATTATGAGGATTGAAAGTTCAAATTTCTCAACTCATAGTCAATGGCATATGTAGTGCACTTCTTTGCAACATATGATAACACAAGAGGCGCACTACTAGCTACAGTTGACTGAAAACTCTGCATATGTCATGTAATAAAACTAGACAAGAACCATAAGCCCATCTGGAGTATCCTTCCATTACTATTTCCACATTACCTGCTTTCAAAGAAAACCGCGGTTTGTATTCGTATGCATTGACCAAGTCAAAATTGTAGGATATATTATGGGCTTGGCCTATATAATATTTAATAAATTAAATAAAACTCTATGGTCCGCGTTGTATGGTTTAATACCGTACGGGATTTTGACTTAACGTTGACTCAGCTTATTTGGTTGGAAATTATCCAGGAGTGCCACACGCACGCGCGCGCCGCCGCCGGCCGGGCGTGGGCGTGGGCGTGGTAGGCAAGCAGGTAGCGGACAGGCGTGGCCAGGTTTTGCCACTTAATCCACATAATTACGGGAGTTTCTCAATTTATGGTGGAGGCGAGTTGATTGCGCCAGCTACCATCTCTTCGTGTCTCCGTCTCCTGAGTTCCTCGGCTAGCTTTCTCCCTCCCCGCCGCAGGCATAAAAGTAGAAGTCCTCCGTCAGCCCAATCTTCCCTTTGCTTTCGAGATACTACACCTCAGCCGCCCTTTGGTTTTCCCCGTCCCATACCTCTGTGCGCACGGAGCAACGGGAGAGCAGGTGCCTCCGGAATCCTCCTCCGCCTGCGAACCTTGCACGGGGTGTGCGACGATTAGTTTTTTGGGGAGCGATTCCGCGATTGCTCGTCCACGTCACAAACGTCTTCTTCCTGGTGATCGCTCGCGGAACAACAAGGTGTCTTCTTTCTGGTGACCGTTCGTGGGACTGCACCGCGAACACTTTCCTGCATCAACTGTGGTCCACGACTTCGAGCAACGCACTATGTCTGGTGCGAATGGAGCCTTCGATGTCCTCGGCATGGGACCCTCCGTTGAGTACACTCTTAACTCTCTGATTACCGTACTTTGCGTACTTACTGTATCTATCGGTATGTCATACTTGCATGCTGTAGCGTTTGTTAGTGATATACACATACACATATATGTTGTCACGAACCTGCTGATGTTTTATTTCTGGATTAAATTGACCATGAAAATGCATAATTATCTAACAAAAATACAACTAAAATTTTTTAATTTAAAGCTACATTTCCACTGATGAAAAGAATATACATCCCCTCCCATGATCCTATCCCTTGTGAGCTGTTAGTTGACATTGATGATTCCTGAATTTCTACAAGCAGATCAGAAAGAATCTTGGTCATCCAAAATTCCAAATCGCCTAGCAAGATGGATGTACGGCTACACCAGAAGTTGTTAGAGGTTGACATTAGCCTGCAGGTACATACACACTGGCCACTGGGTAGTTGGAACAGTAACTAGTATGAGATCTCGGAATAAATACAGTTATGCACCACTGCTGTACTAGCAAGACACAGACAGTGCAACTTATCATTCCTCTTCTCATTGGTGCCAAGAAAAACAAAAAGAAAAGGCACCTTCCCTGATCATCAAAGTTTCTATTGGTACAAAGAAACTAGTAGCATCATATACAGCCACAGCTAGTACAGTACCACAATGTGACGTGAGATCTAAGCAGGGTGCTGATGAGCCACGCCATTGGCATGGTATCCAAGGAGATCAAGGTTAAGTTTCAGAGTTTCAGGCGTCGCCTTGCCCAGGAGCCAGGACCATGAGCCTGCCCAGTGCAAGCTGATCGAAGCTGAAGAGTGAAGATGGAGAACGAGAGGCAGGTGATGGGGGGAGTGGGGACTGGACTGTGGAGGCCGTTGCTGTTTCAGCTCACAGGCGGACGACAGGCCCAGCACCAGCGCCGGCAGCCATTGGGAAAACGAAAACTTGTCCCGTTTGCATTTACTCCCTGCACGAGAAAGACGAAGGCATCGACAGCGAGTTGGGTGAGGTGAGGCGAGCAGGGTTAATGGCGCTCGCGTCAGCATCACTGACCTCGACCTCACTCCTCTGTCCTCTCTCTTTCTCTCTCAGCTCTGAGCTCCGTCCGAGGACGGAAGCCTGAAGAGAGAGGATACTGGAGTACGTACAGTACTGGACACTGAGGCCTGGTTTAGTTTCTATTTTTTTTTCCTCCTACAGTAAAAAAGCATGGTTAGACACATGGAGTACTAAATGCAGACGAAAAAAAAAACTAATTATACAGTTCTCGGCAAAATCGCGAGGCAAATCTTTTAAGTATAATTAGTCCACAAAAAGCCTTAGGTGCTACAGTAACCCCATGTGTTAATGGCAGATTAATTAGTATCATTAGATTCGTCTCGCAGTTTCTCGATGGGTTCTGTAATTTGTTTTTTTATTAGTATCTAAAAACCCCTCCCGACATCCTTCCGACATATCCGATGTGACACCCAAAAATTTTCACGTTCCCAACTAAACACACCCTGGAGAACTCTGAAGAAAAATTACACAGGAACACAGGCGCCTCTTCTGAAACTTGCCACCTGCAGTTGGGGCGTTGTTTAATGACTTGGAACCTTCATCTGTCAGTCAGCCAGTGAGCCAGTGAGCGACGAGTCAATCCAGATGCTGCCGCTAATCAGACGCTAACCACGAGTAATACTTCGATTATTTTACGGCATCCAACAGCGTCTTGTTTTTATAGCACATCGTGATGACTGATGAGGTGCAGTGTTGGATGCCAGTGCCAGCCACGGGCTCCGGCCGGTTTCTTTACTCCAGTGAAGCGCGGCAGCTAGTGGTACGCCGTTTCCTGCTGGATCTTGCCCGCACTGTTGCATGCGTGCGTACAGCGTACTTGCTTCCACGGATCCGAGTTCTTTGCTCCTGAATTCCTGATAAACTCGTCTCCGTGTGTCCAGCTCATCATAGATAGTGCTGGGACTGCTGGTTCAGCTAGCTCCACCAAAACTTTCCAAATGCTGCTGCATGATTCTCAGCTTAATTGTGTGCCGCGTGCCGGTGAAAATGGCAGTTGGTTGAGGATGCGATAGCTGGACTAGTTGGCAATTGTGGGGTGATAGCAACTAGCAAGACGCCTAGTAGGTAGCTGGCTGGCAGTTTAGGACAGATTAGTGCTGCTTGTACGGCAAATGGAGTATGATTTGAAGTGGTTCATCCCTGATGACCTGTTCTTTTGGGCTCCTCTTACTCGTAGGGATGCAACTAGTATGCCATTGAACGGAGGTTTAGGCTCTCTATGGTTTGCGAGAATTTTTTTTCTATTTCTTGCATTTTTCTATGAACTTAATTTGATTAATGTAAAATTACTATATAATTATTGTGAAATTCATGCATTCCAAAAGGAGGGCCCTTAAAAAGAAAAGAAACCATCAAGACCTAACTAAATATAGGTTGAAAATGGTCTAAAGATTCTTGGATGTCATAGTGTTAAGAAGCCGTAGTATTAAAACACTATAGTTTTATTATAGAACCATAGATATGTAAAACCATGGTTTAGAAACAATAGGTAAGCAAAATTATGCCACGTTTGGATCTAAAGTGTTTTTGAGATTTAGCAAAAAAACAATATGGCTTTCTAAAATACTTTGGTTTAAAAGTGCCGTGAAGTGTTTGGATGCAACAAACTATATGGTTTTAACAACCATAGCATTGTTAAAATTATAGAATTTTGAGGGTTTTCTAAAATCCACTCTAGACCTGTTTTCTGTAAACCATAATTTTGCACGTCTTTAGATTTTATAAGACTACAACATCCAGACAGAGCACTGGTCCTTTTTGAACATAGGTTTTAGAAGAAACAGAAACATCAAGCGCTTTTCTTTCCAAAAAAAAAACAAGCCTTAACTAAATATAGGTTTAAAAATGATCTAATGGTTGCCAGTGGGTCATGACCGTAATTTACAGTTAGTGACGGGCCTGTTAAAGAATGATGGCACGGTCATCAGAAAGCTCTTTCGGTGCATGAAGTAAGCAGGCATTATTATACTTTTTTCAAAAAGGCACGAGACAAAAAAAAACATAAAAAGGGAGCCAATTAACAAGGCATTGATTGAGAAACCTGGCGTCTTTTCCTGCCATGGAAAAAAGTCACAACTAGTTTCTTCTTGTGCCGGCAACACAACTGCTACTCAGAGAAAAAAGCTATGGCTGTTAGATGGCACAACTGTGCCACATAATTCCTGAGGATTAGGCCACGCGATTTGCTCCATGAAACAAGAACTGCCGATGAAATTGACCTCTGCTTTGTGAACAGGCACTGGTAGGTTTTACCTAACAACACGTATATAACCTAGATTAAATGCTTAATTAATGCTGCGATGAAGCTTAATCGTGCACGCATGTCGGATCGGATCCCCTGACATTACATTGCATTACATGATAATAACTCTCTTAACAGGCCTCGA